CTTAAGCCACAGCGCCACTTCTGGTTTTCTGGTGGTTAGATGGAGATAAGAGTTTCTCTGGCTTTCCTGCCTGGGCTGGCTTCAAACTGAGATCTGAGGATCTCAGCCTCCTGAATAGCTAGGATTACAGGCGTGAGCCACCAGCACCTGGCAATGTGATTTTTTTGAAAGTGAAAATATAATGCCTGCTATGAATTAAACTTACTAATTGAAAACAACGCATTGGCTACTTAAAATCCATAATGTTGCCAAGTGCTGAGGATTCATGCTTATAATGCAGCTAATAGTTACTTGGGAGGCTGAGATCCAAGGATCACAGTTTGAAGCCAGCCCTGAGATGTCAATGAGATAAGTCCAAAAAGCTGGAAGTGAAACTGTGGCTCAAGTAGTAGAGTGATAGCCTTGAGCAAAAAAGCTCAGGGACAATGCCCAGGCCATGAGTTCAAGTGCCAGGACTGGCCCAAACAAATGAACAGCAACAAAAATCTCATAATGCCTATCTCTTAGTATATAAGGATTCTGGTTCAAAGCTAGCTGAGGGTTTCCAAATACTCTAGCCATCTGACTTTAAAAAATTTCCATTCTCCCTTCCCCTTTTCTCTATCTTCATTTCCCTCACACAATCAAAATAAACTGCTTCTGGGTCCTAGCTACTTAAAGATTGGTAAATGGACCAGCAGCTGTGGGGTCTACTGAGGCAGATGAATGAGTAAGATCACTCAAAGTGAGTGAGTGAGCTCAGTAAGATGAGTGAGTCACATGCACAGTAAAGCTTGACACCCCCGGATTTATCTTTTGAACCTCTTTCTGTAGCATTCTATTACATAGACATAAAGGAAAATGAAATCATGCCACTTGCAGGAAAATGGATGCAACTACAAGATATCCTACTGAGCGAAAAAGCAGAGCTAAAACCCCAAACTAATTAATGTATGTTTTTACTCCTAGGTGGAAACTAGATCTAAAACACAGTCATATGCATGGACGGACACACATACATATAATTACTTAGATGAGTAAACATAGAACATGAATCAAACTAAAAACTACATAGGAGGAGAAGGAAAGGGGAGAATGGAAAAAGAAAGGGGAATAACTGTGTCATAATGCAAGTATGTATGACAGCAATAGAGAAACTCAACTAAAGCAGGTGATCAATAGTGGGAGGAGGGTGCTGGCAAGAGGATAAAGGAGGCTGACTACTCTCAAAATACCATTTGTATTGGGTATTGGTGGTCCATGTCTGAAATCCTAGCTACTCAGGAGGCTGAGGTCTGTGGTTCAAAGCCAGCCCAGGCAGGAAAGTCTGTGAGGTTCTTATTTCCAATTAATCACCAGAAAACTGGAAGTGAAGCTGTGGCTCAAAGTCTACAGCACTAGCTTTGCACAAAAAATCTGAGGGACTGCACCCAGGCCCTGACTTCTTGTCCCATGACTGACAAAAAAGATTATTTGCAACTATGAAGATGGATCGGTGCAGCTACTTTTAGAGGAAGGTGGCAAGGAGTGAAACTGATTGGAATACAGTGTAAAAGTGTGGAGATGTAACAATGAAATCCCCATTGTATAACTAATAGAAGCCACTATTTAAAAACCATAGCAATTCAAAAGAAAGCTTACCTACTGCTTGTTTTTTAAATGACACTTATATACCTTCTGCATATATATATATGAGCAGAGATAGCTATTTAGGTAAATTATCTCTTCTCTACTGTATGAGACTTTCTGGATTGTTGTAGAAACTGTTTCCAGAAACTTTTTCAGACCAAGAAAGGTACAAAGGACAGCAACGCTTTTAATCATCTCTCCATCAGTGTGGGAATGTGATGAAAACCAAGGTTTCTGAGATCTAAAGACTGGAATAGAAATACTGGACCTGTTAGTTGCTCTGTGAGTGACTCCAAGGGAAATAACAAGCCCTAGTGAACTCATTTCTTCATTTCAGAAGGGAGCTAGAAAATTCAGAATGCGAATCTATGCACAGACATAACATACTAACCTAAATATTGTTTTTTTTCCCATCTGAAGCATGTGGTAGATCTAGATAGGCAGTGTTAGTTGTGAATTTTTAAAAATGACTTACTGGTAAGCCACTCAATAGAATTGTCTTGCCTTTACAGAACACAAAGAGAAGTTGACCAATAGAGAAAAAACAATCCTACTTTCCCATCTCCTTCTAAGGGGGTTGTGACTCTGAGTGGAGTCCCAGCATTTATTTCAGAGCTAACAGGTTTGCCTCTTCACTGCAGTTTTACTTTGAACTTGAAAGGCATAAAATAGTATTTAAGTTGGGCACCAGTTGCTCACACCTGTATTCCTAACTACTCAGGAGCCTGAGATCTGAAGATTGAGGGTGGAAGTCAGCCCCAAGCAAGAATGGGACTTGTATCTTCAAGTAACCACCAAAAAGCTAGAAATGGAGTTCTGTCTCCAGTGGTAGAGCTGGCATACACACACACACACACACACACACACACACACACACACATAGTACATGAGAAAACTTCTTTACCATAAAAATTAGTAAGTTACATGCAATTTCTTTCCTCCTCCTCCTCCTCCTCCTCCTTCTCCTCTTCCTCTTCCCCCTCAACTTTTTGTTTTTTGCAGGGCCTGGGGCTTGAACTCTAGGCCTGGGAGCTATCTCTGAGCTTCTGTGCTCAAGGCTAGGGCTCTACCACATGAGCCATAGCACTTCCAGTGTTTTTGTTTTTTGTTTTTCTTTTTGTTGGTTGTGGGGACTGAACTCTGGGCCTGGGCGCTGTCCCTCAGCTCTTCAGCTCAAGGCTAGTGCTCTACCACTGGAGCCACAGTGCCACTTCCGGCTTTTTTGCTTATGTGGTGCTGAGGAATCAAACCCAGGGCCTCATGCATGCAAGACAAGCACTCTACCACTGAGCCACCTTCTCAGCTCCCACTTCCAGTTGTAATAGTTTATAGAGATAAGAGTCACACAGACTTTCTTGCCTAGGCTGGCTTCAAACCCTGATCCTCAGATCTCAGCTTCCTGTGTAGCTAGGATTACAGGCATGAGCCACCAATGCCTGGTGCAATTACTTATTATGCAATTTATTGCAGTATGTCTCCACAGTCATGCATGGTCTGCTCCCTTCACTTGTCTACCTCCTCCTCCTCCTCTTCCTCCTCCTCCTCTTCCTCCTCCTTCTCCTCCTTCTTCTTCTTCTTTTTGGGGGGGTCCAGTCATGGGGCCTGAACTTGGCCTGGGTGCTGTCCCTCAGCTCTTCAGCTCAAGGCTAGCTCTCTACCACTTGAGCCACAGCGCCACTTCCGGCTTTTCTCTTTTTGCTTATGTGGTGCTGAGGAATCGAACCCAGGGCCTCAGGCATGCAAGGCAAGCGCTTTACCACTGAGCCACCTTCCCAGCCCCATCCTCCTTCTGAGGAGCCCAACAATACCCACCTGTGCAGTACGGCACTGTATAGATCAGATCTTCCAAGCTCTGTATCTGCTGGTCACAGACATCTGTGAATACAGATGAGAAGAACTCTGAAGCATGGTTGCTTTTTTGCCTCGTGGCTTTTCAGAAGCGACTTCTTTAGGTAATTTTTGTATGCTTTTACATACAGCGCTGGGTCTAAATACTTCTACTTGGAGATGCTCATTAACTAATCACTAGCAGAATCTTCTTTGTCCATGCTAACCTTAGGGACCTTGCAAACACTTGCTAGTCTACATGGCCTGCAACGTGGGGTCTGCGCTACCTCGTGAAGATTGAGACTACGAAGGGGAAGAGGATCTGGGTCGATCGAATGGCAACGGTCAAGTGACGTCTCACCTTGAGTGCAACACGAGCGAGCCCACAACCTCCATTCCCACCGATTCACACGAGATGGTTGGTTATCTTCCTCGGTTTTCCGATGTGATCTTCGCCTCCCACAGCAAGAGGAAGAGACTACAGCCAGGCCAGGGCTTCCAGAGACGAGAGGGTCTGGGGCCTTCTTCGGAGCCTGCCCCAGGCCACAAGACATTGGCTGAGAATACAGGACTTCAGTAAAGGGCGATTCATATTGGTTTTTTTCTGATTGTACTTTTATCATCTCAGAAACGTGACCCTTGTCCCAGAGTTTGGTGATCGCTCACTTCAGAACCTGCAATGCAAGAAACAGCCCCAATGAACCGTGGGACAAGGGTCTCACTTACATATCTCCGGCTGGCCCCTGCTTCAGTATTCCCCAAGGCTGGAATTACAGGCATGACCCATGACACCCTGCCGTTGCGTGTTTGGTTCTACAAGTTGAGGATCTTCACTTTTTCATGTTCGTGCGGAGTATTTGCCAAACACATCTAAAAAGAAACAGGTGAATCAATGAATGAATGGCTGGGGAAAGAGAAAGTGGACTCCTGGAAGTGGTAAGGAAAGGACGGGCAATGAGGAAAGGCAGGATCCGGGAGGGCAGGGCTGGCGCTGTGGCCTCTAGGGCGGGGTGTGGGGGTGTGGGCGCGCAGCTCCACAGCCAGGTTCGCTTTAGGAAGGCTTGCTCGCGGCCCTGCCTCGCCGCGGAGCCACAGACCGAAGCAGGTGCAGCTGTAGCCCCGGGCTCCACCATGCCTCAAAGAGCAGAGGCCCTGAACCTATCGGTGTGGAACCGTACCTCGGGCCTGTCCTGGGGGCCTCGCCACAGGTCAGTACCCCTGGGGTTCGCCCCAGCTCGTCTGCTCCTTCTGGGAGTTGCTTCCCCCAGCCCGCGCCTCCATCTCGGGTCTTTTGGAGCCGGCATCTGGCCTCCACCCTCTACGGCTCACAGCCGGCTCTGCTCCGCTGCCTTCAGCCTTCAGCCTCCAACCTCCAGGAAGCAGGAGAGAGCAGCTGCCGCGTAGAGAAAGTCGTCCTAGACACGTGTCTGTGAAGCTCCTAGCCGGCCCAGCCCGGGCGGAGGTGGGCGGTGGGACGGAGGTGGGGATGGGGCGGGGTGGCCGCTCCTGGCCGCGCCCCGTGGGCCCAGACCGCGGCTTTTCATCCCCGCGGGTGCGCGCTGCACCCGGACGCTGCCGGACCTGCAAACAGGACCTGCGCCCTCGGGGCTGGCCGTCTGGCTGGAAAGGTAAGAGGAAGGGGATCAGAAGGGCTGCAAGTTAGGGGGCTGCGATTGTGGCGAGGTTGAACCAGGTGCGCACCGAAGGGCTTTTTGTTCTGCTCTTCTCAATCCTAAGAGTCCTGGAAAGTTCCAAAGACGCTGGTGACTCCGCAGCCTGGCCTTTTCCCCCAGATCAGGAACCCAAGGTGGGGTCCAGTGTTTTCAGGTGCATCTTTCAGCATAGAGGACGCTGGAAAAAAATCCTCTAGAACTCTCTTGCTACCTTGGGCATTAACTGCCTCCTCTTCCTGAACAAATAGGCTTTTTTTTTTTTCTTTCCTCAGTCTGGAGGGTTATAGTGTGGGTAACTGCAGTCCTCTGCCTTCGTGAAAAGCCTTACAGTTGAGCCAGATGGCTGTACCAAGGAGGGCCCTCCTCTGTGGTCAAAGTTCCTACCACCCAGCACCATGGCTGAGCCCAAGTGGCCAGTACAAGTTGGCCTTGGCTCTTGCTTTCTCAATCAAAACAAATACATTGGTGGGCTGTTAAACTTTCCCAAAGTAGTACTGAGATTTTCCTGTCTCTCCTTCATGGCTCTCTCGATGTCCTAAGTTGACTTAAAGCTAGCATGGAAAGCCCAAATAAATTAATTTTCAGTCTGTGGTGTATATTTTTCTACTCTTTGAAAGACAAGCTTTCAATTAGAAAACAGCATTGGTGCAACTTTGTAGTAACTGTTATACCAAAATGACTCATGTCATGTAATTTATAATTTTAATGCTGAAGTGTTTATTTTGAATGGCTAGCTGGGTAGATGTTATACCATACTTCACTTGCCTTATCCCTAAATGCACTAGTCTTAAAAAGTCAGGAGGAAATGAAGTCTGAACTTATTTACCTTCTTCTGCTTGTGCTCAAGCTGGGTGTGGTATATGATCACTATTTTTATTTTTTTTCTTGACTCCATTACTTTTCTTAGTACATTTCCTTTAAGGGCTTACATGACTTCTATCATATCCCTTGACTCCTTTTCTCTCATCAGAAGCATTGTCTCATTGTTAAAAGTGAAGGACACACAACAGTGCACATCTAAATGGCTTTTGAAGGCTTCCACACTCCACACAAACTGTGTATAGGGGACTGGTTCTTCAGTAATAGTGAGAAACAGAAAATCAGACATCACTGTTAATTGAGAATGGAAGAAAAGTGAAGAAAAAGTGTCTGGAAATTGCGATGCATATTCTTGTATTTTATGGAGAATGGACTAACTTCATCATTCTCTCCTGAAGAGGAGTGGACTTGACACTCAAAAATGAACTGTTCACACTGTCTGTGGTGCGTTACCCAGACAGCTCAAGTTTAAGACAATCTGGTAGCTTCTTCCTGCTGAGTTAGAGGACTGTTGAGATTTCCACTCATCGTCATCCTTGAGCCTTGAAAACAGTCAAACTCTTGGCCATGAACTTTTCCCTGCAATGCTTCTACAAACCAGGCTTTCTTCAAGAACAGCCTTGTTCATTCTACTTAACTTCCTTAAACTTCTCTACCATATATATATATATATATATATATAAAATGAATATATATGCAATAATATGTGTGAAATATCCTAATGAAACAAGGAAGAAGAGTTTGGGTACAACTTTTAAGCAGAGTGTTAGAGAATAGGGAACTGAAAGTCAGGAATGATCACGCTCCCTGGCTGATCTCTGCCTAATTACTTCTCAGGCAGTGGAGTGAAGTCCAGATGGAGAATATTTTTGCAACAGTGAAAATAAACAGATGACTTCTTGTGACCACATTTTGTCAAAGTAGAAACAGTAGCCAAGAATAAAAGTTTTAATTTTCTTTTCTTTTTAAAGTTTACTTGGGCTTGAATTCAGGGCCTGGGTACTGTCCCCAAGCTTTTGTGCTTAAGACTAGCTCTGTAACACTTGAGCCACTGCTCCCTTGAGGCTTTGTTTTGGGACTTAATTAGAGATTTGAGTCTCATGGAACTTTCATGTCTGAGCTGGCTTCAGATCTCAGCCTCCTGAGTAGCTAGGATTACAGGCATGAAGCCACCAGCACCCAGCTTAAACTGTTCTTTTTAGTTGAGGCCTTTGGTCTAATTTCCATATGTCAATCCTGAAGAACTGAGTGACATTAAGTTCTATAGAGAAAAGTAAATTTATTTCCAGACCTTACATATTTTTTCTATCAGACTATTACATATTTTCATTATCAACTCTTTCAAGCCATTTTTGGGAGCTCGTTTGCTTTTGCAAACCACTTGGTGTTTTTCTTCCTGTTTTCGGAGTCTTTTCAAGCCTGGAGCATCTGCTGTGTTCTGAGCATGGCCGCACCCCTCTTGTCTCAGATGTAGAGACTGCTGAGGGGGCATGTGGGCCTCTGCCTTTCCTTTAGCTGGGTCATTACGGCCTTTCTATTCCTTCTGGAGTTATACTTTTCCTTTTCCAACCTGAATAAAGTTTGGGGATTTCAGTCAAAAATATCTGTCAGGCAATAGTTAGTAACTTGTGAGATCAAAGGTTCTGGAAAGTTGTTCCCTAGTATTGTAATCCTAAAAGATCCATACTTTAAATAATGGGCTTTTATTTTAATGCCGAAGACCCATAATTAAATAATTTTTCGTGTGTTTGTTCTGGCAATTGAACTCAGGGTCTAGTGCTCTTGCTTTAGCTTTAACTTTTTTGCTCGAGGCTGGTGCTGTACCACTTAAGCCACAATTCCACTTCTGGAATTTTGATGGCTAGTTGGAGATAATAGTCTTGGATTTTTCTGCCTGAACTGGCTTTGAATGGTGATCCTCAGCTCTCAGTCTCCTGAGAAGCTAAGATTATAGACAGGGACCATAGCACCCCAAGAGCCACTGGTACCCAGTAACAAGCTTTTCAAAGAAAAACCTGCCACCTGTTCAACTGTCCAGTCAGAGGGATTTTCCTCCCCCTTCCCTCCTCTCTTTCCTCTTTTTCCTTCCTTCCTTCCTTTTGTTTGGTGGTACTGGGGTTTGAACTCAGGGCCTTCCTTATGCTTGCTATGCAAGATACTCTGTCACTTGACTCATGTTCTTAGCCCTTTTCACTTTAGTTATTTTTCTGTTAACATTTTCCATTTTTTGCCCGAGGTGGGCCTTGGACTTCAATCCTTCTTTTTATGCCTGTCATGCAGCTATGATGACAAATGGGGACCACTGTAACTTGGTTTATTAATTCAGATGGAGTATTGATAGCTTTTTCCCCTAGGCTGGCCTTGAACTTCCATTTTCCTGATCTCTGCCTCTCAAGTACCAACCAATGTAGGTGAATATCACTATACTTGGCCCCTATCCTAGAATTTTTTAGAGATGGCATGAATCCTGGAATTCACCAACATGACACTGAGACAGGCTTGTTCAGAATTAAGGTAAAATCAGCCCATTGAGGAAAAAAACATTTCTTTATAACTTTGGTGCTATTAGATTAGATTATTAGAAACATTAGAGAAAGAAAAGTCAGGTGTTGGTGACTCATGCATGTATTCCTAACTAGTCAAGTCTGGAATCTGAGGATCTGGGTTTGAAGGCAGCCCAAGCAGAATAGGCTGTGGGGATCTGACTCCAATTTAAACAGTGAGATGTTAGACTGGAGGCATGGCTCAAATGGTAGAGTACCAGCCCTGAGCAAGAAAGCTAAGTCACCAGTGTGAGGCCCTGAGTTCAAGCCCCAATATATATTACACAAATATAAACTAAAATTTAGCTGCATTTGGAATCCTGTATTGCTGTGAAGTGGGGTTCCCTGTTCATCTCTGCCCCAGAAAGCTATTTCTTCATGACGTAATGTAAAGAACTGTGGCTTGTTGAGAAAAAGCACTTTTAAAATAGGCAGCTCCACTTCTGCTTTCCTGATAGTCTGAGACAGCGAAGTGGCGAGAGGGGATGGTTTTACAGGAATCTGGTGTCTTCAGGGAAATTCCTGAAAATTGAACATAATCATCCTTTATGGGTGGCTTGAATGGAAAATAAAAAACTTCTTCCTTCCCTCAAGGTTCTTCTTAGGAATGAGCGTGTGGTCTGTGTTCTGAGAAAGTTGCTTAGAAGGAACTAAAGTTGACTTCTTTGCCTTCTCTCCCCCCCCACCCCCGCCCCCCAATCTCAACTATCTTTAGTTGAGACCCAGCTACCCTAGAGCCATAGCTCACTGGAGTTCATATTTCTTTTTATCATGAAGCTTGCAAGTCATGAGGAAATTAGTTGATAGCAGGAATTAGAGTGAAAAACCTCATGTGAGATTATTAGGATTGACTTCCATCTGACGATCATCATCTTGGGGCCAACAATGGCCACATTGTAGAAACACTGAAGCTTATCGTCTATCTTATCTTCCTGTACTCCTCCAACCCCCCATCCCCCACCCTACCCTCAGCCCTGGCCCACTACACACAAACTAAGGACAAGGAAATACCTGACTACCTGACACACTCTAACTCACAACGTTACCTCAAGAAGTTACATGTCAATCGTAATTAAAAAAGACAAAAACAGGGGGAACTTGATATGACAAAGGAAATCGAGAACCCCATACTATACACGATAGTCACCAGGATGTGTATTTAGTTTTTGTTTCTGAGGTTTTTTGTTTTGTTTTTGGTTGGTCATGGCTCAAACTCTGGGCCTGGGCACTGTCCCTGAGCTCTTCAGCTCAAGGCGAGCACTCTACCACTTGAGCCACAGCACCAGTTCCAGTTTTCTGGTGGTTAATTGGAGATAAGAGTCTCATGGACTTTCAAAACTGCCTGGGCTGGCTTTGAACCATGATCCTCAGATCTCAGCCTCTTGAGTAGCTAGGATGACAAGTGTGAGCCACCAACGCCAGCCCTATGTTTGAGAATTTATGTCTTTCTAGACTTTTAAAAATGTCTGTATATATACATGAATGATGACAGTTTTTGAAAAATGGGATCTCACTGTATCTGTTCTATAACTTAAAAAAATACATCATATATGTTTTTAAATTAGTATGTCATTACAAATAGCTATGCAATTAGCATCATCATTCTGACCAGATATTTTAAAATTGGTAATATAAATTCATAGAAGATTGATATCTATATCACAAAAACTCTTATAGATCCTATCTAAGTATCCTTCAATGTTTAAAATATCCAATAGGGTTTCCCCATAATTGCTAGGCAGGAATTAAGATAGATCTTTGACAATCTGACTGTTAATGAATTTTTGTTGTTAGTAAATGTCCACTAGCTTGTTCAGGTCTTCTATTTGTTATATTAGGTTGTGTTTTCTTCAGTATTGCTGGTTAGGAACTTTTTACAGGGAATAGTAATCTTTGGGCTGATTAAAGATGTTGCATGGGAGGAGGCTACAATGATTGATAAGAAATATACTCATTACCTTGCTCATGTAACTGTAACCCCTCTGTATGGTATTTTCACAATAAAAAACATTTACAAAAGATGTTTCATGCATTTTCTCTGTTCTGTTTTTTCCTTTGACTTTTTTATAGCCTTAAATTTTTATGTTGATGTTTATCAGTCATTTTGGTTACTTTTGAATTTTGTCACACTTAGAAAGACTTGATAAATTATTTTAAAAATCCTGTACTGTCAATTTTATTGTTTAATGAATGCAGATTGTATTGTTTGCATTCAGTTTGAGCACTGTTTCCCAAATAGCAAATTATCATAACAGTATCCTGTGTAATTCATTCCTCGAATACACTTTGCTTAATCAAGAATTTGATAGATTTTTATTGTTTTTCATTCCAATATATTAGATTTTCTTTTTCTTTTTTTTTTGGGGGGGGGGTCCGGTCGTGGGGCCTGAACTCTGGGCCTGGGCACTGTCCTTCAGCTCTTCAGCTCAAGGCTAGTGCACTACCACTTGAGCCACAGCGCCACTTCCGGCTTTCTTCTTTTTGCTTATGTGGTGCTGAGGAATCGAACCCAGGGCCTCATGCATGCAAGGCAAGCGCTCTACCACTGAGCCACCTTCCCAGCCCCCAATATATTAGATTTTCTATTAATCTTGTTACTGATATTATTGTTGTTATTGTTTGATCTTTAAGAGTGCTGATCAAGCAAAGTTATATGGTCAGGGTTAATGTCTCATTTTGTGATTTGTTTCTTTTTCCTAAGAAATCTTCATTATGCATATGCTTATGTGTTAATCTGTCATATGCTGCTATATTCCATGATATGAAAGGCCTCTTGTAAGGAAGCCAAATAGAGACTGTAATCTTGACTAGAAGAAAACAAAGGAATATAATAAGCAGCAGGTTACATGCAATAGTGAGGTCAAGAGAGTCTTTAAAAAGTGCAGGAAAATCTGTGAGACTCTTATCTCCATTTAACTACCAAAAAATGCTGGATATGGAACTATAACTCAAGTGGCAGAGTGTTAGATCTCTGTACAAAAGATCAGGGACAAAATGCCCAGGCTCTGAGTTCAAGCCCCAGGACTGGCACAAACAAAAGGGAGGGAGACATTTGAGCTGAGAAGTGAAAATAAACAGATAGACTAAGAGTTGGGGAAATTAAAGTAGGTTAGTTCAAATACCGATTATAAACCCATAGAATAAGGAGTGTTCCAGGGCCAATAATGAAGTTATGGTGCACCAAGAAAGCAGAAGAGAGAGTTTGGGAAGGAGTGAGCTGAAGTCTTTTAAGGCTATGACAGGAAATAGTGGACGAGTTGGACTTTACTGTAAGAGCAAGACAAAGTCCTACAAGTGTTTTAAGCATGACTTACTAGTTTAAATTAAAATTAAATTTAAAATTTCCATTTAGCTGTGATGTGGACCATTGATTGGGAAGCAAAGCCAGTTTTCAGATGAAGAGGTGATGTGCTTGAACCAGGAGCTTGAGAGACAGAAAGATGGGAACTGATGGAGACTGGGTAAATTAAATCTGAGAGTTGAAGAAAAAGAGAAATCGAAGCACAACTCTAGAGCAGTGGTTGAAATGCTTTGCTGGGCCTTAGGATCACTTGGGAAGTCATACCTCATACGAGTAAGACCAAAAAATGTCTAGGAACCAAGACCCAGGCACAGAAAGCCTTTAAAACTCCCAGGTGATTCTGCCATGCCCTCTGGGTGGAGAACATGGAATGGACTATGGAAAGCCGCTGAAGCGTTGGATGTGCAGACCACTGCACTGAAAGATAGAGAGGTTGGAGCAGGTGAAGGGTAGGTTTGAGAACTCTATTAGACATGAAGAGTTTTAAGAAAGAGGTTGAATAAGAGTAGTGTGTGTGTGTGTGTGTGTGTGTGTGTGTGTGTTTGTGCATGCATGTTTGTGTGCCAGGACTGGAGCTTGAACTCAGAGCCTGGGAGCTATTCCTTAGCATTTTTGCTCATACCTATCCCTCTACCACTTGAGCCACAGGTCAATTTCTGGCCTTTTTGGTGGTTCTTTGAAGGTAAGAGTCTCATGGACTTTCCTGCCCAGTCTGGTTTCGAACAGCAACTTCTCAGATCTCAGCTTCCTGAGTTGCTAGGATTACAGGTGTGAGCCATCGGTTCCTGGAGAATAAGGGAACCTTTTATAGAGAGGTTTGCTGGAGATCAAAAGTGAGAGTCCCCATCAGGTGGATAGCATTTAAAGTCACAGGATTTGATACACTCTTTTTTTTTTTTTGGTGTGTGTGTGGGGGTGGGGGGGTCCAGTCATGGGGCCTGAACTCTGGGCCTGGGCGCTGTCCCTCAGCTCTTCAGCTCAAGGCTAGCGCTCTACCACTTGAGTCACAGTGCTACTTCCGGCTTTTTTCTTTTTGCTTATGTGGTGCTGAGGAATTGAATCCAGGGCCTCAAGGCAAGCGCTCTACCACTGAGCCACCTTCCCAGCCCTGGATACACTCTTGTAGAGTGGAGTATGGGGAATAACAGAACTGTGGACCATACTCTGACTTCTAAAAGTCAGAAGGAGGAGGAGCCAGCAAAGGAGGTGGGAGGGAACCCCAGGAGGCAGGAAGAAAGCAAAAGAAGGGTGTCCTAGAAGCTGAAAGAAACACTTTTGTCAAGGGGTGGCAAACTGTATCACTTCATATGATTTTTCCCAGAAGCTATTTATATTCTAGAATCTTATAACCATTGACATTTTATCCAAAAAGAGGGACACAATCCTTCTCAGTGATACAGTTACAGTGATACAGATAGAAGTTCTCTACTTGCATAGCAATGGAAACTCATTAATGTTTGCTACATTTCTATCATTTCATGCCTGAAGTATTATGAAAGTGTCCCAAATCATCTAGTTTTGTTCTTATACACAAATACACTCACAAAGACTCATGCATCTATACACAATCTCTTTCTCTCTTCATACATATACATGCACACACACATGCATGCACACACATATGCACTCACACATTTTTTCTAGCAACAGAAGAATGCTGTATATTGATTCTCAGGAATTGATGAGTCTTATAAAGAAAATTCTCTTTTTATAATTGTTACAGATGTCCACAGTAGGGGGTGGGGTGGGGAGGGAAAGTGGGAGAAGATACATACCTTATGTAGGTGTTTATCACCTTGACAATAAAATTATTTTAAAAATCCAAAAATATAAGATATAAATCCCCCCAGTATTATCCATTGTGGAAAATTTTTTGGGGGGGGGGAAGAGGCAGGTGATAGAAGGGTTGGACTAATGTTTAGATTTCTTTTTTTTTTCTTTTTTTTTTTTTTTGGTCCGTTCATGGGGCCTAAACTCTGGGCCTGGGCGCTGTCCCTCAGCTCTTCAGCTAAAGGCTAGCGCTCTACCACTTGAGCCACAGCGCCACTTCTGGCTTTTTTCTTTTTGCTTATGTGGTGTTGAGGAATCGAACCCAGGGCCTCATGCATGCAAGGCAAGCGCTCTGCCACTGAGCCACCTTCCCATCCCCTAATGTTTAGATTTCTAAAGAAGTAAGGATCTCCTTGGCTCAAGAGAGCTGTGCTTACGGGAACAGTTGAAGTATGTGAATGGGAAGTGCTATTCAGAAACATGTTAAGGGACAGACTCTTCTGGATATTTAAAAATTGATCTTCTATGGCAGAAATACAATGACACATCTCGATTCTGAGGTGAAAGAAGAACGCTTGAGGGATGACCTGAAGTTTTACTTCATGAGCCCCTGTGAAAAATATCGAGCCAGACATCAGATTCCATGGAAACTGGGTTTGCAGATTTTGAAGATAGTCATGGTCACTACACAGGTAATTGATACTATTTCTCTTCTCCTCACCCCAGGAGGAGTCATGGGCTCTGCCCCTGACTTTTGCTGTGGAAAGTCCACACTCAAGTTCCTAGGACTATAACATTATATCAACTCTGGATGGCAAGTTGAAGTTCAGTTTAGAAGGCAACTGGAAGTCATTGCTCTAGAGGCTCTGTGAATAAATAGTAGTGATCTGTATTGAGGGTGCCTTTGTACTTGTGTGAGGCCATCGGCTGGCCAAGGTGGTCAGTTCAAAGTGATCTGTGTTCTTGAAGTCTCTCATCTTCACTCAAACGTACTTCATTTAAATATTCTTTTGAAATATACATTGTTTTCAGATTTATACAATGTTAAATTTCTCTTTCATCAATAGCAATGTGTGCTAAGTGAATGATTTCTGGGCACTATCAAGAATGTATATTATCCAGGTGCTGGTGGCTTATGCTTATAATCTTATAAACTTATAATCTTTTAGTCTCAAAAGACTAAGATTTGAAGATCAAGATTCAAAGCCAGCCTAGGCAGGAAACTCCATGAGACTAGTATTTTTAATTAACCAGCCAAAAGTAAGAAGTAGAGATACAGCTTAAGTGGTAGAGAGCACCAATCTTGGGCAAAAAAAAAAAAAAATGCTTAGAGCACTAGAACATGAGTACTGACACGCACACATGCACACACACATACACACGAATGGACCATTTGTCTAGGTTGATATTGCTACAGGCTTATCACTAGCATCAGAATACCCTGGTCACTGGCTGTTGAACTCTGGTACTGATCAGTCTAGGGAGGCTCCTGTGTAGGGAATGTATTTGAAATGTGTATGCTTTTAAAAAGTAGTACAGATTTGGGGTATTTAGTACTATTGACAAATAACCATTCTACTATTGATGCAAAAGTGTGTACAGTTGTCATTTCTGGAAGGTAATCATAACTACTCAGAATATGTCCATATAGTGGTGGAAATGTGTTGGTCCTTCATCTGCCTCACGAAAGACGGACAGGGTCCGAGGAAAGGTAAGTGCGCCGCTAACCTGTTCCCCAGCCTCCCTTTGCCCCGGAGACAAAAGTCAAGTCAAGCAAGAACTCCTTTATTACCACACAGCAAGCACTTTTTAAAGCAAAAGACCGCGTGGCATGGGAGGGGAGGAAAAGGAACCAACTAATCACTGTAAAGGTCACCCTATCATGCGCTTTTCACCTGGGCCCGGGGTTTAATTGGCCCCAGTGCTTCTGAACTTCCCCTGCCATTCACCGTTCATGCACTGAAGTCACTTGGCCTGATCATGGTATCCAATCAGATTTTAATGTAAACAACTCGGGCTCTGCCCACTCAACTTCCTCTCAGCGCCATCTTTGCTGCCCATGTGCCCCACAGAAATGAGAGGAGGCTTATGCTGTAACTGCAGTTGTATCTTTGTTCTGCATTTGGAAAGAGGTCTTTCCACACCTTGTGTGACATGCCATCTTAGCTCACCTCATTGAGCTGCAGGGAAAGCAAATCATATAAGAAGATTGGAGATAAGATTCTCTTATCTTCCTTTGTAATACCCATCATGTAGGCTCCTTCCCTGGCAACCAATGGACTATTAGATATCCCTAGCGTTTGGACTACCTCCAAGCAGCCTCTGCCCTATTTGGCCTACATTTACCCCTTCCCATTACCCATTATAGCAAGTCCTGAGAGAATGCCACCCAGCTGCCATGTCCCAAAGCAATGCAAGAGGACAGGAGCCCACTTCTCTAGGTGGTGGCTGCCAGGTCTTTAGGTTGTAATGATCAGAAACTCATCATTTGCATCAACCTGGAGAAGAAAGGGAAGGAGGGCTCAGTGCCCAAGCCTGCAAGCTCTTGGTGAAGCTGACTATTGGGCAGCAGCGACTTGATCTGCTGATCTGCTCTGTGGTGGGGCTAGCCTCTCCTTGGGCAGGCTCCACGTTGCTTTCAAGTCACAGTTCTTCAAACCCTTGCTGCCCCTCCATAACTTCGATCTTTGGAGCCCAACAGGTCTGAGGGATCCTCAGCATCAGCCATCTGGGTGGCTGTCAGCATCTTGTCCTGGCACTCTGTGCCCTCACCTGCAAAGAGCAACAGCAGCTCCTGCGGCTCTTCCTTTTTATCCCTCCTCTCCTGGGACATCTGGTTGATGTACTTGTCTTTCTCCTGATACAGCTCATCCAGGACGTCCATCTGTTCTGTATAGAGAATTATGGACTCTTCAGTGGCGCTGATGTGTTCTGACAGTTGGCTGCACTGATGTGGGAGGTCATCCACTTGATTCTGGCAGTCCACCTTGTCGGGCAGGTTGTGGATGAAGCAGATTTTCACCTTGTTCTTAGGCTCCTGTGTGACCTGCTTCAGGTGTGCCATGGTTCCAGGTCTTGGGGGAGAGGGCCTGGCGCTCCAGCTTTCTCTGGCACTGGGCTTCCAGGCTACTCAGGCACCCACAGCGGGCCTGCTGCTCCTGCAGCTGCCAGCTGAGCTCACCTTCTTTGATTCAGTCAGTGATAGTGCTCCAAAGTAAAAATCCTACATGGTTGGTGGGTTGTCAGTATCCTCTGGGAAAGTCACATTTTTTTTCTTCTTGGTTTTCTTCTTTGTTCATTCCTTCACCTTCCCTAGGGAAACCAAGAAGCTCATTTGGGCCTGCAAGCTGCACGTTCTCATGTCTTGCTGCTTCTAAGCAGTGTGTCCTATAACTTGTGTGGTACTGTTTAGTTCTCCAACTTGTTCTGCACCTACTCATGCTTCTGCTCCCATGGCTCCAGCAGCTGAATGAGCCTCAGCAGGTGCTGCTGCACACAGAGAAGGTGCCTCCTTCTCTGATGTCAGATGCTGATTGGTGGCCAGGTGCTATTCACAGGTGGTTCTGAGCTCCTGCAGCTGGGCCAGGTACTGATCATGAAGCTCTTGCAGATCCTAAACGGTTTGGCTCTTTAACTCAGCCACCTCTTTCCATTCTTATAACTTCTCATATAGCTGGCCCAGCTTCTCCTGCAGATGTATCTTCACCTGCTGCTTTGAGTGCAGGAAGCTGGTGAGCCCTTCCTTCTCACAGCTCAGCCTATGGAAAGTATCCTGCAGCTGAGCCTACTGATCTTTCAGCTCTTGGCGTGCAAGAGAGTGTGTCTTATGGTCTTGTGCTCTCTTTTCATTTTCTCAAAGATCTTCTGCCAATTCTCAGCATGCAGAATGCTGATCCCAATCCTCGTCCCTCTTCTCCAGTCTCCACAGCCACTCCTGATGCTCCAGCTTCTGGATACCAAGGCTCTGGTTTTCCTGAATTTGGATGTGAAGTTGTTTCTCTGGATTTTTTTTAGCTTCTTCTGCATTTGGTGGGCCTAAGCTGGCAGCTGCTGTTTAGCCTGAGGTAGCTCTGCAGGAAGCTGCAGTGGTGGCAGCTCTGCCAGCTGCTTCCTCAGTTCTACCAGGTTGCTCTCTAGCTCCAACACCAGCTTCACCCCTTGCTCCTTCTCCTCTTTCAGTTGGTTCATCTGCTCTGAGAGCTGCTGGACCTTCTCCTTCTACATGGAACTCTCCACCCTCAGGACCTCTGTAATTAATATTTCCACCAACTCTTTCATTTTGTCTAGTTGTCTTTTCAACTCTGCTTGCTCCTCTAGTGCTTGTTGTAACTCATGAATTTTGATCATCATGTCGGCCTTCTGTGTCAGGAGCGCTTCCAGCTTCTCCTGCAGCACAGTGTTCTCTTCCTCTAGATCATCATAGATTCTGATCTTTTGCTGGAGCCACAGGTTTACAGCTTTTTGGTGCTTCCTGAGCATAGGCCATCTTCTCATTCTCTTTTCCCTCTTGATCCTGCAGGTCTTTCTTTTCTTGCTTCAGTAGTTCAGTCTCACAGGAAACTGCTTGTTTTTCATTCTGCTGGAGTCCAGGGCAAGCACTAGGTGTTTGTAGAGCTTTTCCAGATATTTGGTGTTATTGAGACCTGTGACACTTTTGACCCTGGCCACTCTAACTGTGCCCAAAGATGGAGGAGTCCCAGGGTCAGTGTGGTCTTTGGCTACACCCTCAGTTGAATTACAGTCTCCAGTGGTGTTGGTCTTGGGGTTCCCTTCCTTTTTAGTTTTCTTCCTTTTCTTGGCTTTTGCAGGTCCATCAGGACAATTCCTCTGCTGGTATTCTTTTTTTTTTTTTTTTCTCTGCTGGTATTCTTGCAGTAGTTTCCTTCCTGCAGCTTTTTAAAAAAATTGTCTTGTTTTCTGGGACATTGAAGGGGGTCACATTCCTAGGCTCTCTGAAATCATCTCTATTCTTGCAATCACCACCACCATTTATTTCCTACTGTATCTTCAAAATTACCTCGATTCTCTCACTCATCACTTGGCACCTCTACCTTCCTCAACTGCTAGTAGTGGTATAAACCAACAGAGGGAATACCAGTACTACTTGTTAGCATGGAATGTGAATGTGGCCCTGATTCTTGTATCCTACTGGTCAGAGAGAAACATGCAGTTAAGGCAGAATGGGTGGAGTCACATTGACAGTGGCTCCTGCAGCCCTTCCCCCATACAACCTTGTCCAGTTTGGTTGGGGGAAGGGTGAGACCTGCTCTTGCTGGATAGGTACACAGATTTACAAGTCACTTTTCCTGGCTTCCATCACACAACTGTGGTCACCAGAGTTTTCACCAGGTTTTCAACTGCCCTTCAGGAAGTGGCACTAAGAAACACAGCTACCTGCCCATATCTAGTGTGTTCAGGTCTTCACTTCATGCAGAATTAGCTCTATGGTTCTGACCATATTTGCTGACACTTGTATTTTGATCAGAGAATGATGTTCATAATGGCCTTGCTATACCCAGCTCTTCCAGTTGCTATGGGACTGGAGGGTCTGGGGACATCATGGGTCCAGGGCTCCTCTCCATGAGTATTGGCCATGCTGCACACCTAGGCCATGTGTAGGGCAGCATGTGTTCCACACACTTTGGCAGGTGATCTTTGAGGCTTCAGAAACACAACCATGGGAGGAATAAGA